ACTTATCTGGCAGAAATGGAGGTTAGTTTGTTTTTTAAGCAAACACCATACACGAGATAAATGCAGAAATGTTCTCTTTATCACTGTTCAAAACAGATTTTTATTTGTCCAGTGTGGTGGTATCTGGGTGCATGATGCTAAGTAAACATATCAACACATTACATTCAATTGTCCGCCATAGATAGCACAAAACAGGCACCCCTTGCAATATTCCACCCCACCCAACTATATCAGTGATGATATGTTGTCAAATACCTGAGCAGAAAGATGCGCCATGAACCACGCTCTAAACCCAGCAAAGTATGGTTCTATTCCAGCCTCCCGTCCAGGTTGTTTTAACCTTTGCTCCTTTCCCACTCAGTCATCCTGTCATGTTGACAGTCCCTGCGGAGCCCATCAAGTATCTGTTTCAAAGTGGCCAGAAATGTCACTACAAAGCAGCACTAAGGCCTGGTCTGTATTAGAAAAGTTGCACTGAGGTAACTACATCACTTTAAAGTCAATCCAGCTCCACTGAATTAAACTAAACCTATGTAAGTGAGGCTTAACCCGGTTTAAGTGCATCTGTATTTGGGGTTTGCGCTGGTGTAACTAGATTGATTTTAAATAGGTTTAGTCAAACCAGGACAACTTTTCTAATATGGACAAGCCCTAAGCACTCCTTCCTCCCAAAGGCTTATGGTTGGATCCAGTGGCGGTGAAGATGTGGGTTCTGAGAGAGCGGTGGCGGTACTGAGGCCAGAAGGGCGGCTGAGCACAATGCTCTATTTACTCACTACCCAGCAAGGTGAGTGGGTGCTACAGGCAGATGGGCTGGTAAGAACACTGTGCCCAGCGTCACCATCAGGCGTTGAGCAGCTGGCTAGAAGGAATACTAGAAGGAATGTTTTCATTTACCTCCTTGAACACATTTTGTGTGAGTGCTCCTCCTACTCTTGCCATTCTCACTGAATAAATATATAATTGCACCCCGGAATACCTGAACATCCTAAAATTAGCCACTACGCATGTCCTCTGTATTCACTGGATAGATATAGACTATGCCAATACCCTGCCTCTTCCACATGTGTGCACCTCCCACTCCATTCACCATTTCTCATGTTAGACTGGATGTAGAAGTTTGCTCACAGCTGATGCTAAGCAAAAGCTGAGTGATCAGCACTAGTGCTTTGTCTCTCTGGAGTTCTTACATCAATACTTAGCAGCTTGCAGGATCAACCCCTTCGTGCTAGGCTCATCCAGCATTCCCATCCCTGGTGCTTCAGGATGGAAAAAGTAAGCTAGAACCCTAGACTAGGATCTCAGATGTGGCAGCATAGTGTGCTGTGTCTAAACTACTGGCCGGACACATTCATGACATTTTGGTAATAATTGTTTCTAACCTGTTATGAATAATGAAAAATATCTAGCAAAAGTCTGTCATCAGGGTAGCCCAATTTGGTGCTTGTTCTTGAGAGGCTTTGGGGCCTGACTCTGATCTCATGTACATAGATGTAAATCAGAAATCACTGAATTGAAGTTAATGGAGTTACACTGGGGTAAAACCAGTGTGAGAACAGAATTAGGCCCCTGCAGCCAAATTCTCAGACTCCACTCCAGCTCATTTGTGCCACTACAGTGCAAGATGCCAGAAGGCTGCCCTGCCCTAACAGAGCAGCTGGGGATTCTCCAGCCCGGGGGAACAGAGTGGTTGCAGTTGGTTCTACACCATCCCTTATTTCTCTTCCCAGGGTTGAGGTTGTGGCAAGAGTCCTTGCACTTCAGCAATCCCCAGGCTGCCAATGGCTACAGGGGACAGTTGGTGTAGGTTAGAACAACCTTAGGGCTACTCTAAGATGTGCCTTTAGAACTGGAGGAGCACAACAGTGGTTTAAAGCCACCTTTGCCCACTCCTTTAATTCCTGCACTGAGTTTAGATCATCTGAAAAGAAGAATCTGGCCCCTGGTGTTTTGCTACTCAGGTGGGCAAGGCTGGCAGCACTAATGTTTGTGCATTAACTTATTTCCTGTGTTAGGATGGCAGTGTCACAAAAGATTAGCAGAACCCTAATTCAATGACAAGGTGACTCTGGGGTTATAAGTGGGCTGTACTTAATTGGGTCTTTAAAATGGGTAGACTCGCTGTGATGGAGAAAAGAGAGGTATACATCCTGCATAGTAGAAAGAATGTGACATTTTCTGATTACATATGGCCTGTAGCTGTATTACACTGAGCTGTGGTTCTATTGCATCACATAAACAGGGTTAGGTTTGGTTAGGAGACTACCAAGAAACAGCTCTGTAGTGTAGGAAGTGGTGATGATGATTCAACAGGTGGTATTTTTTTTTCTTTCTTTTATTCTTTCAGTTGGTACTGAACCAACTACATAGTGATAGGAAGCACTGTGCTGCTGAAGGTGGTGTCTCAGATGAGATGTACAACGGAGGTCTTGACTGTTCTGTAGTCATTATAAGATCCCATGGAACATTGGAGTTTGCTTGCTGTCCTGGCAAAATTCCAACTCAGATAATTACATTCTTTGTACCTGAAATTCACTCTCAACCGGTTATGGGATTTCTTCTTCACCTCCTATTCCCTGTTGTGTACTGGTGCTATTAAACAGCTGCTACATTCTCCACACAAATGGGTGACATTATTTCTACCATATTTAGTTTGTAGATTATTTTACCAGATTTGTTAAACCCTTAGGAATTAGGGCTCTCAAGGTTTCCAAGACCATTCCGATTTTTATTTTTTTAATACCACAAGAAGTTCTTAGGTCTAGAAATTGCTATCAGGGTCTATGGGTCATCGTCATGACATGGTGTTTGACAGCTTGTCTACATGGGAAAGTCTTACCAGTTATACCAGTATGATTAAACAGATCTAGTTATATTAGTATAACTCCCTGTGTGGCTCTTATTCTGGAATGAGTATCTTTTTTTCAGATTAGTATAAACCACTTTCAAAGTGACAAAACTAAACTGAAAAAAGGACCTCTTATACTAGAAGACTGTCCGCATGTGGATTTATTTCAGAGTAACAGCCGTGTTAGTCTGTCTTCGCAAAAAGAAAAGGAGTACTTGTGGCACCTTAGAGACTAACCAATTTATTTGAGCATGAGCTTTCGTGAGCTACAGCTGTACACTTCTGAGCTGTAGCTCACGAAAGCTCATGCTCAAATAAATTGGTTAGTCTCTAAGGTGCCACAAGTACTCCTTTTCTTTATGTGGATTTATGCGAGTATAATTGTAGCTGTTTAAATTTACACCTTAGTTTATCTATATAACAAGATTACAGGATTGTCACTCTGAAGCCTACAATGTCAGTTGAGTCAGTTTGAAGTGGTGAAGACAGCTACAAGCTTGGCTGGGAGCTCTTTTTGTTCAGAATATCGCCAGGTTGAATCATCACTGGGTTTCGCCTTTAGATGCAACGTGATGATATTTCAATCAACAATTTCTTGATGTGATGGTATTATGATTTAATGGGATGCTGCTGCTGCAAAACATCATGTTTCATTGGGATGTAAATGAACCTAAAAAGCTGACTGCCCTATATATATTATGATTGTGCCTAGAGCCCCCAAACGAGATTGGGACTCATTGTGGCAGGCCCTGTCCAAACATAGTGTGAGAGACAGTCCCTGCCCAACAGCATTCATAATCTAAACAGACAAGGCAGACAAAGCGTGGGGGAAAAGAAGTATTATTATCCCCATTTTACAGATAGGGAACTGAGCTAAAGAAAGGTTAAGGGTACAAATTTCAAAAGCACAAAGATGGTGCTTGAGACTTAGCTTCTTATGTCACTTTTGAAAATGGCACTTAGATTCCTCAGTCACACAGATATATTGGAAAAAATTCCCCCAATTTACTTGAATAAAGTTATAGTCATAGAGTTGTAGGACTGGAAGGGACCTCCAGAGGACTAATGGCAGGACTAAGCAAGACAATGCGAGATGATGAGATGTTATTACACATTCTTTGGATGACATGTTGAAGCATGAGTTTATTCAGTACAAAAAGACATCATCTGCACAATATACACAGAAACGGTCAGATTTTCAGAAAAGAAAATACAGATCTAATCTGCATACACAATACATAAATTGGGTAATTGCACATGCAAATTACACCTAATTACTGTTTGCAATGCATATGCACTGCAACCGTTATAATTACATGTACAAAGTATTTACACCTTTTGCCTTCATTTGTATGCTAACTTTTTTGAAAATCTGGCCTAAAAAGTACTTTTTCCATATGTAAAGTTCCACAATCAGACATACAGGCACAGACTTTCACACATGGACCACACAAGGTTACATGTGCAACGTTTTACACACGTGCACATGCAATTAAAGTTATACATATGTATGTACAATTACTCATTCACAATTGCTGTTTAACAATTGCACATGCATACACACACGTCTGCACAGATACAAGAATACACGCAGACAATCCAAGGCATACACAAGCCTGCAAACAACTGCACATTTGCGTGCCGAGTCACAACTGCACCCACATACTCGCGTGCATAGTTACACACACGTGTGGCGGCGTGCACACATTCAGACGGCAGCTGCCTAGACAATTACACACAGATGTGACGACGGAAGCAGAAGCACACACGTGCCCAACGCTGCACTGCTGCCCGCAAACACAAAGGACGGGGGGGGGCACACAGGCACAGTTACGCACACACAACAAAGGCACCCCGTGCATCCACGCGCACGATCGCTGCCATACACTTGTACACACACAGGCATGCAGTGGCCAGATCGCCTGTGAATGCGCGCGCGCGCGCGCGCACACGCACCTTGTGTACACACAGGCTTGTGCGGCGCAGCGGCACGTGGCCCACAGCACCCACACGCTCCCACGCACATGCCCCTGGCGGCTCGGGGACACCGGCCTGGGCGCCGTCGTTGCGCGCGCGCGCGCGGCCGCCCCCCGCCCCCGCGGTGGGCCGCGCGGGGCCGGTCGCGCGGCGGGGAAGAGAGACGCGGCGGATCCGGGCTGCTCCCCCGCCGGCTCCGCCCCGCTTCCCTCCCCCGCCGGCTCCGCCCCGGAGGCCGGCACGCTGGCTCGCTCCCTGCCTGGGAACATGGCTGAAGTCGGGGAGGACAGTAGCGGGGCCCGGGCCCTGCTGGCGCTGCGCTCGGCGCCCTGCAGCCCGGCCGCGGCGCCCCCTCCCGGGCCGGCGCTGCCGGGCCCCGCCGCCGCCGCCCCGCCGGGCCCGGCCCTGGCCCGCCTGCAGGGCCGCGAGTTCGAGTTCCTCATGCGGCAGGCGGCCGTCACCATAGGCCGCAACTCCTCGCAGGGCTCGGTGGACGTGAACATGGGGCACTCGAGCTTCATCTCCCGGCGCCACCTGCAGCTCAGCTTCCAGGAGCCGCACTTCTACCTGCGCTGCCTCGGCAAGAACGGCGTCTTCGTGGACGGGGCCTTCCAGCGGCGGGGCGGCCCGGCCCTGCAGCTCCCCCCGCAGTGAGCGCGGGCAGGCGTGGGCCAAGGGGGGGGGGGCGGCCCTGAGGGGGCGTGGGCGGGGGGGGAGCGGCCCCCGACCCTGGGCCAACGGGGGCCGCGGTCCCCACCCCTTGGAGTAAAAGGGGGACCCCCCTATCCTGGGCGGGGGGGCGTGAGCAAAGGGGACACCCCCTCCCACAGGGCAGGGAGGAGGCACCCTCCTCTGAGGAGGGGGGCACCCTCATCCCCCTCCCCCCCCCGCAGGGAGACGTGGGCAAAGGGGACACCCCACTCTCCTGGGATCAGGCAGAGGCATCCCACTCTGGGGAGGCCCGGGAAAGGTGGCACCTTCACACCCATGGGAGCGCCCTCCCCTCAGGAGAAGGGGCATCCCCACCCCCATGGGAAGGAGGGGTGTGTGGGGTATCCCTGTTGGAGGGCAAGAAGTAGGGGATGGAAAGGTAATGGGGTGCCCTGACCCCCTGGGAAGAGTGGAGGGGTGTTGGTCACTTCCACCCGGATGGAGGGGGACCGCAGGGCATTGCCCACCCCCCTGTCGCAAGAGAGAAGAGTCATGTCTCAGGGTGGGGGAAAAGGAAAGGGGGGTTGTTTTTTTCTGAGAGAAAGAGAGAGCGCACGCTGTTCTGGGAGGGGGTGTTCTCCCTTAGGGGTGTCTTGCTGGAGGTTGCCACCCCCGGCGGGAGGCTGGATGGGAGGCTGTGTGACCCAAACACTCTAAGGGAAGTGAGGCAGATAGTTTTCTTAGGAGCAGCTGTGTTTCATTTCCCGGGAGAACTCTGGGGAGGTGAAAGGAAATGGGGAGTGTTTTACCCATTGGGAGGGGACAGGCTAGTTGGGGAATTATTTTCTCAGACTCCAGGGGAACAGCAGCATGTCGCTTTATCACCTCTGGGAAATGGAGCAGGCAACAGGCAGTGGCAGAGGGAAGCTACAGGACTTACTCAGGTGGAATGGTTGGGGTTCTTCCTCCTGCGGAGGAGACAATGATTTTTCACCCCACTTTCTGCTCTGAAAACGTTGTGTTTTGTGGCTGAGCACTATTAAACAGGTACCACGTTCTACCCCAAGGTGACAGCATATTAGTGGTGGGTGACGTAATCTCTCTGTGTATATCTCTATAAAGCTGTACTGTACACACAATACATGTAATCTGAGACTAAAAAGCACTGTATAAATGCAAGAAATTATTAATATTTTATTTATTATTCTCCACTTAATTTCACCATGTTTATATGGGCATCTGATTTATTTGGCAGTTTTTGGCCTTAGTAGCATTCACCTCTAGCAGCAGGGTCCCTAAGGGTTATCCCTCTTTCACCAGCCTTCTGCTCGGAAGAGAGTTTTTTAATTACTCACTTCCTCTGTTGGCTGTTTCTTTTTGTATTTAGTAATTTAGTTATAACTTCCCAGCCGCTTGCTCTCTGAGGCGTTTTGGTTTTGAAATATGTTTCATTTTCTAAGGAGATGTCCTTTGACTGACTGTTTAATTAATCTTTCTTTGTAAAACAAGCCCCCTAAAGCCTGGAGCATTTCTGTTGCATTGCTCCCTCTTGGTTCTGGATTCATTTGTGTGAGCTTCATCTCCTCCCTGTCATTGTGTTTCTTCATGTAGTTATTCATAAGTATTGTGCCCAACAATACTCTCAAGCAGAGAATTCACTGTTTCTTTTCCCTCTACTTGCTCGTGACTCGCAGAGTGGAAAAGGTGATTTCCCCCCACTCTCCCTTCATCACTTGTAGGGGAGGAGTTTATTTACTTTTTTCTGTACAATTAGGAGCCTTGCACAGTAAGACACCCTCTCTTCTGGGCCACTGTTTATGATCCATGTAAATGAACTTCATGCCCCTCCTTTCCAAGCTGTAAAGTAGATTGATGGCAAAACACTTTTCTAAAGGAATTTGCCCTCTTGTTCATTCCAGGTAAACAACTTCCATCTTCCCCATGTCCTCTAGGCAATCAGGGGTTTATAACTCAGATGTAAAACAAAAAATAAACAAACAACTTGCCTGAAGCTTGGTATGCACTGATCTTCTGTCCACTCTTCTCTCCGTGCTCTTGACAGAAAGAATTTTAGGTCCTGGGCCCAGTGTCTGTAAAGAACCATGCACATCTATTGCTGTCTAAATAATATAGTCAGCAATAAAAAATGGAGATAATTTTAAATATTTTATATTGAGAACTTGCTCTACATTTTATCCTGAAATATTATTTGATGTGAATGTCATTATCAGGTCTGGCAGTACTATGCTGTGTAAATGTGGCAGAAGAATCTAAACATTGTATTAAGCGTTATGATCTAATGGAAGTTCCGTCAAATGATTTAAATTAGAGTTCACCTATGGTGGTTCAAGGGGTACTTGTGGAGGTCTTCAGATTGCTGGCTAGTCATATGGTGCTGACTTCATTACCTTATTTCCACCTGACTGAAACACAGTAAAAGACTGATAAAAATAAATTGCATATGTTTAAAGAGTATTTAATTGCTGTTGTTACAGGGATGTTAGGGGAGGGAGATTGTCTATACAATCATAAACGGGAGGGAGGTGTCCAGGAGACAATCGCTGTGTTCAAAAGTCATCCACACTGTGGAAACATTTTTAAGAACTCCCTGATTTAAATTCACCTTTTGTCGTCATTGCACTTCAGAAGTTTCCTGGAAAAATGAGATTATACCAAATACCTTGTCTTGTTAGAAACTCTCTCCTGAGCTTACAGTGGGCTCGCTTAAAGTGTTATGGAAAAACTCTACAGTTTCCGTCAAAATCGTCCATTTTGAAGATGGGGAATATCTCTGGAAACGGTATCTTTCAAACTTGTGGAATTTAAAGGCACTTGCTGGATTGTCATCCTACATCATGTGCATATTCTAGGCTGCAGTACTGTATTTCACAGCTGTGTCGTTATGGAAGGTTATATTTTACAGATGTGATGACACAGCTATGAAATATTATTAAGCAATAATGGCCAACAAGGAGGGCATTTCCTAGAGGTTAGTGATCCCCTGGAACCAAGCTAGGTGGAAGACCTGAGGGCCTGAGGTAAAACTGAAGGTCTTTAACCAGCTGATTAACAGGAGAGAACCAATCCAGAGATCGTTATTAGTATTCTAAACTGTGGCAATTGGCTTTCAATAAAGTAGGATGAAACAATGAAAACACTTGATTTTTTTTTTTAAAAAAAAGTTTAAATCAGGTTGACACTGTGCAAAACTAATTTGAAAAGTTGTGTGTGTTGCATCTGTAGGTTAAAATTTATAATGAACTAGAATATAAAGGCTGTTGTTTAACATAGCCACTATTTAAAGGGTATTAAAAACTGCTATAGGCAGAAAACAAAATATTGAAAATTAAGGCAAACAAGCAGGTACATATTTTGACTTTAGTGGGACTACTCGTGCTTAAAATCAAGCATATGCATAAGCGTTAGCAGTGTCAAGGGCTGATTCTATTTTTATGCCAACCCTTTTTCTTTGTGTCATAAAATCTTTGTAGCTTCAAAACAAAATTGTTTCAGTTTTAAGAATGAAAATTTATTTAGACTTCCAGTTCCCTGAGAATGTATTGTGACCGTTTTTTATGCACATAGGCTAACATTTTCAAAACCAGATGCCTAAAGTTAAGCTCCTACGAGTGGGATTTTTAAAGTCACTGAAGTCACTTAGGTTCGCAAGACCCGTTGACCAAAACTGCAAATGTTGATGGAGGAGTGTAGTCTGGTCAAAGCACTTGAGCTTTCTTAACTTGTGTGAATTGAGTCTATTGGAAGTTGGTGATGGTTGCAAATATTGTATAGGCTATTTGTTTATCATTTTTGTGTTTTGAGTTTGTGGTGTTCTTGGGGTAAGGACATTAATGAAGCCTTGGACTTGTGTTTTTCATCACAGATGAGCATTTTTCAGGGAGGGGCTTCTCAGAAAAACATCTGTTAGCTGAAATTTTCTTAACAATTAGGAAGCTAAAGAAACTAGTACAAAACCATCCACTTTAGTGACTTAAGACTATAAAATGGAAAGACAGTAAAGAAATACAACATATAAATAAAAACCCAATTAAACGATAAGATGAATTTAAGTAAAACTGGCTTTTAATTTTTAATCATTTTTATCAACCCTGCTATAAATTGAAAATCTAAACATTGGACTGCATGTTGCCAAGAATCTGCTGTTCTGTTTATAATATTGGGGTTTTCCTGTTCAATATATTTTTGTCCAGTTTATTAAATGCCTATCTAAAGCTTTAGGCTTCATTAAGACCCTAATCTTGCAAAGACTTATGCACGTTGCTTAACATTATGCACTGTGAGTAGTCGTGTTCACTTCAGTGGGACAACTCCTAGTGCCTAAAGCTAAACATATGCATAAGTAATTGTAGGATTGGGGTTTAAAGCATTAAAGGCTAGTTTAGTGATCCATAAAAGAACAAGATTTTATTCCCAGCATTCTCTGTTTATAAATGTTGTTGTGTAAAGGGTGCGGGGGGAACACAAGGCAATTTATAAGTGCTAGCCCGTAGGATTCAAGTATGTGACTAATGTAAAAATCGGCACAACGTAGGAAAACTGATATGCACGTATTTCAGGGTTTTAATGACCTCATAAACCACTCAAGCTCCATTCTTGTGGTTAGAATGATGCCATCATGTTGTAGGAGTGTGTATAGTGTTATAGCTCAGAGGGAATTGTGAGGTATATGTACGCATACCAAGGAAATGCTTTGACCACATAACCACGATGGCAAAGCTAGAGTTGTTTCTGAAATGCTGTAGGTATATCTTCGATTCTGATCACTCTTTTCCTATGAAGTTCTATTTCTTAACTATTGCATAATTAGCGCTTCTGTAAATACTGTAATGAGTGATTTCTTCATAATTTTTCCTACTACACTTTAATGTAGTACTGTTTCAAAGAGCACTATATTAAAGCATACTAGGGAACCTTTAGTGCACACTAGCAGGGTCTACATGGACTGATTAATGTGGAACATGTTAGTGTGCTTGAGCAA